TTTACATGGCGATTCATAATGTTAGGGTTATGGTTGGGGGTCACCACAACATGAGGAACTGTATTAAGAGGTTGTGGCATTTGGAAGGTTGAGAACCACTGCTGTAGATTGTAGAAAACTATTACTTGATTTAAGTTGTTGGCAAGCTGGTTGATACCCAAACAGGGGGTGGGCTGAAGATGTTACTGCCTTGGTCCTTTTACTATTGGTTGCAACTCCCAGATGAAAAAGACATACCTTCCAATATTTCACACATGAAAGCCTGGACACAGATAATCAAGTTTCAAAAAATTGGAGGAAGGCACTTGAGGTCCTTCAAGAAGGGAAAAAAGGACTACCCAAACAATTACCTTCCGGTTAGCCTCACATCAATACCATGCAAGATTCTGGAAAAGATCATTAAGGAAGTGATCTGCAAACACTGCAAACACTGCAAACACTTGTTGCCTGCTGCAGAATTATGGGGTTTGAACTTTAGTGAGGCTGTTAAGGGCTCCTCCCTAAACTACAAACACCAGAATACTGCCGGTGGCTGCAACCAGATTTGTAGTGGATTCATTCTCTAGTGTGATGAGGTCATTAGAAAGGAATGCGGTAATTGCTAATAGTCAACACGGATTTATCAAATACAAGTTGTGCCAGAGTAATCTGATCTCTTTTTTTCGATAAGAGTTACAAGCTGGGTAGATGCGGGGAATGCTGTGGATTTATTATTTATTTATTTACTTTTATTTATTTATTTACTTTGCTTCTATACCGCTGTTCTCAGCCCGAAGGCGACTGAGATGTAGCGTATCTGGATTTCAGGAAGGTCTTCCTTCAACAAGGTCCCCCATGACCTTCTGGCAAACAAACTAGTCAAATGCGGGTTAGGCAAAACTACGGTTAGGTGGATCTGGAATTGGTTATGTGAATGAACCCAAAGGGTGATTCTCCCCAATGCTTCCTCTTCATCCTGGAAAGAAGTGACGAGCGGAGTGCCATCAGCAAGGTTCCGTCCTGGGAGGGATATCCAATACTCCAGAGGACAGGAGCAGGATTGAAAACGATCTTGACAAATTAGAGAGATGATTGGCCAAAACTAACAAAATGAAGTTCAACAGGAACAAATGCAAGGTACTCCACTTAGGAAGAAAAAATGAAATGCAAAGATACAGAATGGGGGACACATGGCTTGATAGCAATGCATGTGAAAAAGATCTTTGAGTCCTTGTGGACGACAAGTTAAACATGAGCCAACAATGCCATGCAGCGGCAAAAAAGGCCAATAGGATTTTGGCCTGCATCAATAGAAGTCTAGTGTGTAGATCAAAGGAAGTCATGCTACCCCTCTATTCTGCTTTGGTTAGACCACACCTGGAATATTGTGTCCAATTTTGGGCACCACAATTGAAGGGAGATGTTGACAAGCTGGAATGCGTCCAGAGAAGGGCACTAAAATGATCAAGGCTCTGAAGAACAAGCCCTATGAGGAGTGGCTTAAAGAGCTGCCCTGCAGAAGAGAAGGCTGAAAGAAGACATGATGAGAGCCATGGATCAATATGTGAGGGGAAGTCATAAGGAGGAGGGAGCAAGCTTGAATGATGTGATTGGACAATGTTTTTAATAGGAGTCCCTCATGTTCATGTTTTTATTAATTTTGTTATGATTTTATTATATTGTATTGAAATTGTATTTTATGGTCTTGACACCAATTGTGAACCGCCCTGAGTCACCTGTGGACTGAGAGGGATGGTATATAAATATAGTAAATAAATGAATAAGCTTGTTTTCTGCTGTCCTGCACACTAGACACAATGGAACAATGGCTTCAAACTATAGGAAAGGAGATTTCACCTGAACATTAGGAGGAACTTCCTGACTGTAAGGAAAGCTGTTCAGCAGTGGAACTCTCTGCCTCGGAGTGTGGTGGAGGCTCTTTCTTTGGAGGCTTTTAAACAGAGGCTGGATGGCCATCTGCCAGGGGTGCTTTGGAGGTGATTTTCCTGCTTCTTGGCAGGGAGTTAAACTGAATGGCACACGAGGTCTGATCCAACTCTATGATTATATGATTCTAAGCAGTATCAAAGTGTGGTTAAGACAACAAAAATTATTGCCAAGGAAAAACACTCAAGCTAAAATATCTAAATTTTCCCCTATAATCCCCTTCAAAATAGCAACAGGAATCCTTTTTTAGAAGGACCGGTGGGGAAATTGAGATATATTTGGATAGTACAGGGTTCTTTGGTGTTTGTTGGGTCAGGAGAGTATATTTTCACATATTTGCATGCCTTTTGAGGATTTCTAGATAGCCCTAAAGTAAAATGTGCCAGAATTGCTAATGTAAAACAAATTAAAGATTGGGAGACTGTAGGGAACTGGTGGTTGAGATGCTGCAAAGAGGTGCATGAATCCGTCCGGGCTTAATTTGCCTACTTTTGTAGATGGAACATAGCCTGGGGCTACAATTGTCCTTGCCGCAGGAGAAGTCCAGACTTGCTCCAAAAACATGTTGACGAAAGGCAGAACACAGGTCAAGCAAAGAAGGAAGTTGCCGTTCCTGTTCCAAAAGTCTGTGGCTTCCTCTCACTGAACTTTGCAAAGCGGTGCTACCAAAAATTGGAGTTTTGTGCCGAGAGGAAATGCAGATTGCTTACTGGGAAAGGAGACCTCAAGGTGGTGGTCTACCTCCATCCTTTCACATCTGTGGAGACTCTGTTTTCCTGCTGTGTTTGAAGCTTGTTTTATGGGCAACCACTGGATTCTGTGTTTACGAACCATAAAGGAAGGATATTTTGCAACTTCCCCAGTGAGTTTTTTTTGTCCCATGCACATCAGAATGAGGAATGTCATTTTTGGACATGTGAAGCTTTAGTTGCCGGTTACAAGGGCAGTGTCATGGAGAGGTTTGAGCATTGGACTAGGAGCCCTCGGTGGCTCAGTGGGTTAATCCCTTGTGCGAGCAGGACTGAAGACCAACAGGTCATAGGTTCAAATCTGGGGAGAGCATGGATGAGCTCCCTTTGTCAGCTCCAGCTCCCCATGCAGGGACATGAGAGAAGCCTCTCACAAGGATGGTAAAACATCAAAAGATCTGAGTGTCCCCTGGGCAACGTCCTTGCAGACGGCCAATTCTCTCACACGAGAAAAAAAGCATTGGACTGTGAGCCAAGGTTTGAATTTCCCCTCATCCATAGAAATCTATTGGGTGACCTAGGGTATGTCACAATCTCTCAGCCTCAGGGGAGAGGCAATCCCTTTCTGAAAAAAATCTTTCTATGAAAACCTCCTAATAGGCTTGCCTTGGAGTCATCATAAATCATAAAAAGTTCAAGGCATACAACAAAAGGAATGATTCAAATGAAGTTACACCTCGGATATTACTAATTGGTGTATGATGTGATCTGGTGTCTAAGTATAGTCCCAGCTTGCTTCACCTCTGTGTGATCATGCCCTTCGGCACCACTTTGATAGTTTGGCAGTTTCTTCTCAGCTTTCCAAGAAATGTTCACGGCTGCTTCTTTACGTGGATTTAGCAGCCACGCTTTGTTGTCTCTCTTGTAGCTTTGAGAAGGGCTCAGGAAGCACAGTTGAGAAGATTGTTTTCTACTATAGCTCCCGGCATGTTCCAACCAACTGAATTATTGACATTGCTCATTGGGGGATTTGGGGAGCTATAATCCAAACACTAACTTCTCACGGGACTACTTTAATTGTTTGGTTGTAGATTGTTCAGTCTTCTTCTTGCATTGCCAGTATTCAGTCTCATTTTGCATAACAGGTCCCACCCCACCCTCACCCCCCCCCAAAAAAAAACCAGCCCCATGTAATAAAACAAAGCAGAGGTTCAGGATGGATCTACACTGCCATATAATCCAGATTATTAAATCAGATAATCCAGATTATTTTTAAATGAATTAAATGAGTCTATCATATAATTCAAAGCGGATAATATGGATTTTATATAGCAGTGTAGATGGGACCTCTGTTATTAGGAATGTAATATCTAGTATCAATGGTAAGGAAGCTTTGGCTATCCACTTATAGTTGTATTTTGGCTGGCTCTAACTGTAGAATTACTGCAACTACTATGGCTGGATGCTGTGGAATGTTGGGATTTGTAGTTGAGTGTGCCACTGTCAATCTTTGGCAGGGAAGGCTAAGGACCTTGTGAAACCCCAATTCTCATGATGCCACAGCTTTGAGCTATGGCAGTTAAAGTGGTGTCAAGCAGCACTAATTCCACAAAGTAGATGCACCCAGCAATTCCTATTTGCACTAGTCGACATTGTTTTTATGTTCTGCCATGTCGTTTCCAAGTTCTGATTGACACTGAGGACAAAGGAGGAAAATGGATCAAGGAGAGAGAAACTGGGACATTTTGAAAACAGTTGAGAAAATGGGATGGCAGAGGACTAATTAGGATTGTCAATGTCGAATTGAAAAGGTTTGGAAAAGCATGAGATTGCTAAATGGTTAAGAAGATGGTTCTCTAAGTATATGTATTAATAGAAAAGCCAATAAAGACTATTTAAAGAAAAGAAGATGGTTCTCATCTTTCAGATATTTTTGGACTTTAAATTCCAAAATCCCCAATTGGGCGAGGCTTCTGAGAAATGAACTCCAAAACCTCGAAGACTGAAAGATAAGAGCCATGAATGAAAAGAACATGTAGTCCTTATTCCCATGACACTTGTTTTTGAAACATGACATTAAATCGGGAGACTTGTTGACATTGTCTCTTTTTTTTCCTCTTAGGCTATCCTCTTTGGCCTTATCCTGGTCCCATTGCGAGTCATCGGCATGTTGCTCACTTTGCTAATGGCCTGGCCCTTTGCATTGCTGGCAACTTTCGGCGCCCCGGAGAAGGGGACGATGCCACTTCAGGGATGGAAAAGGTAACAGCGTGCCTTCATGTAACTGATTTCTTATTTAATATTCCCAGCCTTCCTGGATTCCTGATCTGACCTTCTAGGTCAGTGTTTCTCAACCTCCCTAATGTCATGACCCCTTCATACAGTTGCTCATGTTGTGTTCACCCCCAACCATAAAATTACTTTCATTGCTACTTCATAACTGTAATTTTGCTACTATTGTGAATCGTAATGTAAATATCTGATATGCAGGATGTGTTTTCAGTCACTGGAAATCCCAGCAACTACAGCTCCCAAATGACAAAATCAACACCCCCCCCCCCAACCCCACCAGTATTCAAATTTGGCAAAAATACCCAATAAGACCAAATTTGAATACTGGTGGGGTTGGGGGGAGGATTGATTTTGTCATTTGGGAGTTGTAGTTGCTGGGATTTATAGTTCATGTACAATCAAAGAGCATTCTGAACTCCACCAATGATAGAATTAAACCAAACTTGGCACACAGAACTCCCATAACCAACACAAAATACTGGAAGGGTTTGGTGGGCATTGACCTTGAGTTTTGGAGTTGTAGTTCACCTACATCCAGAGAGCACTGTGGACTCAAACAATGATGGATCTGGACCAAACTTGGCATGAATACTCAATATGTCCAATTGTGAACACTGGTAGAGTTTGGGGAAAATACACCTTGTCATTTGGGAGCTCCAGTCACTGGGATTTATAGTTCACCTACAACCAAAGAGCATTCTGAACCCTACCAATGATAGAATTGGGCCAAACTTCCCACACAGAACCCACATGATCAACAGAATATACTGTGTTTTCTGATGGTCTTTGGGGACCCCTCTGACACCCCCTTGCAACCTCTCCAGGGGTCCCGACCCCCAGGTTGGGAAATGCTGTTCTAGGTTTGCTCAAAAATTCCATGTTCCCATCCCCATGACGTCTGATTCATCCACACTACACAGCCGTAATGTCATGAATCCACTTCAGCTGCCTCAGTACCATCCTATGGGCTCTTAGAGCATAGTTGTCTTGTTGTTGGGTGACTTCAAACCATTTCCAACATATAGTGACCATTGTCAAAGATTGCATTGCTCAACAAAAGCTGTGGGAGGCATTCATGAAGGATTTCCCCTGACCCACTTCCTATGGACTGAGAGCAATGAAACTTGGCTCAGTTATGAGTCCTTCTCTCCATATGTGCCACCTTGGGACACACGCTTCTCCCTCCTTTCTAAGCAACTGTACACACCTCGCTTGTAGAAGTCAACAGGTTGTTCCAAAAGTCACATTTTGATTTCGGAAATCAGAGTCTCGTCATCTGAAAAATGTTTGCTCTTCAAAAATAACTTCATTGTTGGAAAGAGGTTGACGTCTGATGGTGCAAGATCGGGTGAATAAGAGGGATATGGAAGAATTTCAAAGCCACAGGAGCATGCTTCCATTTGAGCAATGTGGTGTTGTGCGTGGGTGTGTTTTAATGTTTTTATATTGTTTTTATTATAATACTAGCTGTACCCGCCATGCGTTGCTGGGGCCAACCTTCCCTCCCCCTTTCTCTCCTTTTTTTCCCTCCTTCCTTCGCTCCCTCTTTCCTTCCTTTCTTCTTTCCTTCTCTCCTTCCTTCCTTCCTTCCTTCCTTCCTTCCTTCCTTCCTTCCTTCCTTCCTTCCTTCCTTCCTTCTCTACCTCTTTCTTTCCTCCCCCCTTTTTTCCTTCATCTTTCTTTTTTCTTCCTTCTCTACCTCTTTCCTTCCTTCCTTCACTCTTCACTTCTATGCATCTATCTTTCCTTCCTTCCTTCCTTCCTTCCTTCCTTCCTTCCTTCCTTCCTTCCTTCCTTCCTTCCTTCCTTCCTTCCTTCCTTCTTCTTTCTCCCCTTCCTTCCCTCCCTTTGTCATTTAGTTTTTCGTCATTTAGCTATTGGGGTTTTTTAAGTCCTTTCCACTGTTTTTTTTTTTGGGGGGGGGTTATGAGTGATGGTCACTCATTGGTCTGTTAGGGGTATCGTGTCTAAATTTCATGTCAATTCATCCAGTGGTTTTTGAGTTATGTTAATCCCACAAAAATTACATTTTTATTTATATAGATGTATATTTATGCTTTTTCTTGTTGTGGGCACTGTGCTGTACCAGTTGTTAGCTGCCCTGAGTCCCTCTGTGGCGGTTGAGATAGGACAGGATATAAATGACCTAAATAAGTAAATGTGAGTGGTGAACTGGTGCGTTGTCTTGCAGAAGGCAGACAACTTTGGTGAGCATGCCACATCACTTGGTTTTGATGGCCTCCCGCAATTTCCGCAGCAGTGAAGCATAGTATTCCCCAGTGATCATGATACCCTTTGCTAGAAAATCCATCAATATTACTCTGTGCTAGTCCCAAAATACTGTGAGCATGACTTTGCCTGCTGAGATGTGGGCAGGTGCCTTCTTTGGAGGCAGTGAGTCATGATGCTTCCATTGCATCGATTGGACTTTAGTCTCAAGATCATAGTGATGGACCCAGCTTTCATCCTGTGTGAACAATCTGTTCTCTGCTGTGGCCCTTCAACTATGGAACTCGCTGCCTAGTGAGATTAGGCAAGCCCCATACTCTGGCAGCTTTTAAGAAAGACCCAAAAACCTGGCTCTTCCAATGTGCCTTGGTGAGTGAATAGATATTCCGTTTTAGTCTGTCCCAATTACAGCTCTGTCCTAATGATGCACTTTCCCTCCGTCCTTAATGAAGGTTTAATCCCACTGTTCAGCCCTTTGCATTCCTTCCTCAGAAATACATTCTCCCTCAGAAATACATTCTACCTATCTCATCCAGGTTTTTATCAATTCTATCAATTTTACTTCTAGTACATTTGGCCCACCCACTGTGTCCCATTTCTCTATCATGTCATTTTGTAACTGTTTATTTTATTTTGTTATGTTATGTATTTATTTTGATGGTATTTTTGCTTTTTGTATTTTATTTTGCTGTACTTGTATTGTAAGGTAAAGGTTTCCCCTGACATTAAGTCCAGTCGTGTCCGACTCTGGGGTGTGGTGCTAATCTCCATTTCTAAGCCGGCATTGTCCGTAGACACCTCCAAAGTCATGTGGCCTGCATGATTGCATGGAACTGCATGAAGTTACCACTGAAGGTACCTATTGATCTACTCACATTTGCATGTTTTCAAACTGCTAGGTTGGCAGAAGCTGGGGCTGACAGCGGAAGCTCACGCTGCTCCCTGGATTCGAACCTGTGACCTTTTGGTCAACAAGCTCGGCAGCTCAGCGGTTTAACCCACTGCACTACCGGTACTTTGTTGTAATTTTGGGCTTGGCCTCATGTTAGCCGCCCCGAGTCCCCTTCGGGGAGATGGTGGTGGGGTATAAATAAAGATGATGATGATGATGATGATGATGATGATTGAAAAAGTCCTCCTGGTTTCCATGGCACATCGCCAATAGAGCCTGAGAGCATTCACTCATTCCTGCTTCTGGAAAGGTGTGAGCAGCTGGGGGACCCAGCAAGCAGATATCTTGTGGATGTGAAGATAGGACAATTTTTTTCCACACACCCCAAACTAATCTTGACATTCTGGGCTAGGTGGTGAATGGTTGTGTGGTGATTTTCCAAAATGGCGACCTCCATTTGCCGGATGGCATGTCCATCAATAGCAGAGTGGGGTTGCCTTGGAATTAGAACTGTTTGCACCAAAATGCGACCACATTTGAATTGACGATTCCAATTCTTGACTACATCATGCAGTGGGGAATCATCACCATAAACTTCTTTCATCTCATCGAACCTCTCCTTTGGTGTGCAGCCTTTCGAGTAAAGGAACTTGAGGACTGCTCTGTTTTCTACTGGGTCCATTCTCAAACCTCACACCACTTCAGCATATGTAAAATCAAAAATGTTATCAGTTCTGAGTTGTAAATTGGCACATAACCTATAGAGGCTTATATCATTACCCATGTGCAGTTTCAGCATCCTGTGATAAAGAGAAGTGGGTCAGGGGAAATCTTTAATGAATGCCCCTCATATCTTACCAGCAGTAACAGCATTACACTGAAATATGCGGAGATGTGAGATGCCTTCTGGTCTTGTTGGGAGTGAGCGTAATTGTATTTGTTTGGTTTCTTTCTTTTCTGTGCCAAGGAAACTCTCCTATTCCGCCCTCACCTTTCTTGGCCATGTCCTTTTCATCGTGATGGGCTTCTGGGTCAAAGTGAAGGGCAAAGTCGCCAGTCCCAAAGAGGCACCAATCCTCGCAGTCGCCCCTCATT